AACGTAAACTAGTTTATGAAGCTTCTCAGAAGCGAGTTGATTCCTCTTAGTAGTGCGCAACCATTGGAACGTACTCCAGTTGAGCTCACAACCAGTAGCAGAACATGTTTGGGAGAGCACCTTGATTGCTATCTTCTTTAGGCGAGGTGCATCAGTACCATATATCTCCCACCATCCAGCTGGATTAAAATGTAAAAAGCATTGTAAGGGCAAGAACAATTCATAAGATTAAATATATGAATGACCAAAATATTAGCGAGAGGCTAACTTGGATCCATCATAGTTCGAGAATTCCTGGCAAGTCTAGTTTCGAAGGATCCTATAGCATCCCTATACATAGCAAGCTAAAATAAATATATTACGTTTTAGTACATTATTCCTCACAAATATAACAACTCAATGAAGTTCTTACCCAAACATTAAATAATACCTCTTGTATTGCTGCTACTTGATTTTGATGGCTTCTCTTCAACCTTGAAATAATGTATCTGACCCCTTCCATAATCTTGTGGGGTTGTTCAGGTGTCAAATAGAAAAATTTTGGGTTGAAGTAGTAACCTACAAAATATATAGGTAGAAAAATGTCATTTACAATTTCATAAAAAAATGATTTAAAATGAAACATTGTAATGATATAAATATATATTTACCAGCATAATGAATTGGACGTCCAAATTTGGTGTTCCACCTCCTTTCTATAATATCGATCACTTTGCTAGCAAAATTACACTTCTCCCCAATACTTGATTTCGCCCTCTCAATACCTTCATAAAGGATACCCATGGTAGCTTTTTTGTCAGCATCCACCATTCTTAATACCGTGACCAAAGGGGCAATGGCCTCTACAACACTGGAACATCGAGACCAGAACCGCCTATTTGAGACTATGTTGTCCACTTTTATACCGGTACTGGACTTCGAGAGGCGGTCATTTAACCACTATTCACAGGTAAACAATCTCTTTAATGCACCTTCAGATTCTCGAATGGAGTCCACAGCTAAGTAATCGATTGCAAAGCGGGTTATGGCAGGCCTGATTATCTCTTTTTTCTTAGAGTGTTCTCTAAACAAAAATAAAGTTTTAGAGTGGTTGTATATAAATCTCGACACCAACCTTGCTCCCTCTAGAGTCTCCTTCACAATTTTGATCTCATCGATCTCTTCTAACATAAGATCGATGTTGTGTGCAGCACACGGGGTCCATACTAGATACTTCCTCTTATCCATCAACTTGCTGCCCGCAGAAACACATGCACGCGCATTGTCCGTAACAAACTGAACTACATGCTTATCTCCCACCTCCTCTACTATCTGATCATATAATTGTACGTAGAAGTTTACATCCTTCTTCGTCCCTGATACGTCTTTGTTAGACAAAAAAGCTGTACCTTTTAGGGAATAGGTCAAGAAGTTTAAAAACTCATTTTTGCTAACTTTATTCAACCAACCATCACTCATGAGAGTAATGCCTGTCCTTGGGCAACTCTGTTTATATTCTTCAATCCACTTTTTAACTTTTTCCACCTCTTCATCTAATATTGACTCACTAAGCTCATATGTCGTCGGGGGTTTTACCCCGGGCCCGACTCTCTGGATTGCACTGACCATAGGTGGAAAATATGGGCTATTGGCTGCATCAAAGGGAATCCCTTTATCGTAGAACTATTTACCAATATATCTCCCCAACATGTTTCTTATACCTTTAACCATGCCTTTTAGGATCATCTGTTGTGACTTAGGCTTTGAGAGAAATGGGTCTTTACGACCATGACCTGCAATACTGGCACTCTTAGGTAACCTAGAAACAATTTCTTCAAGATTTGATTCTCCTTGATACATATTGCCACCAACCCCTCCATACATATTTGAGCTGGGCCCGCCATACATCCTCGAGCTGGGCCCGCCAGGCATATCTGAGCGAGGCCCACCATGCATGTCTGAGCTAGACCCACCGGGCATTCTAAACCCACGTTCCCTCTGATATTGTTCATGTAAACTCAATCTTGTGGCCATGTCCAGCTCATTATTATATTGCTCTTCTAGGTCATTATTATATTGCTCTTTTGTATTATTCCTGCTTGATGGCGTATATAAACTAGCTATCTCCTCATTCATCCTATGTTTGGCCATTTTTTTACCTTTGTTAGCATTAATAATTGCCGCCATCTGTTTTTTTACATTATTAGGAACACTAGTGCATGCAGAAACTTCTCCCTTAACCCACGCCAAGTGTTGCTTGAACCTATGTACCCCACTACTGATTACTCTTTGACAGTAATTACAAATAATTTTATCTTTTTTGTTGGGATCAAGTCTGACCCCATGTTGCCATGCAGGGTCTTCTGCAGATCTTGACATGATTCAACTGTTTTAAGATGTAAAAAGCATAAAATTAACCTGACAGTTCAACAAGAAAAATAATCACCATGTGTAGTGACAATAAGTTGGGGTAGTTCATGTAGTCATATTTGTTGTTATTTGTTATTGCAAAATACCTCTATTGACAATAATATTTTCGTACATATCAATTACAAACATTCAGTATAATATAATACAAAATGCAAGCTCCAAACATGGCTACAACTCAATTATCAAGAACATATATTTTTTGCAGTAAAAAATTAATAATAAAAACAATTCTTCACAGAGCCAGCTAACATCAGTCATTCCAACTAAAAAATGCATTAACAATAGATTAAAAAAATACAGTTTTGCATTAAAAATATAATAACATGCATTTTTTTGCATAAATAATCTATCAACATACAATTTTTTGAACAAAAACTTTAACAATAAAAATTTAAAATATGGTTTAATACCTCATGATAATTAAAACCTTGTCACGATTTTCACATCTTTTCCGAAAATCATCATTTTTCAAAAAATTCGATCATGGAAAAAAAACAAGAAAGTACAGCAAACTCGAACAATAAAAATTAAAAATTGGATTTAATACATCATGATAATCAAAACCTTATCACGATTTTCACATCTTTTCGAAAAATCATCATTTTTCAAAAAATTCGATCATGGATAAAAAGAAATTAAAAAAAAAAGTACAGCAAATTTTCAAAAAATTCGATCATGGATTACAAAAAAAAATTCGATCATGGATTAAAAAAAAATTAACAAATTTTCAAAAAATTCGATCATGGATTAAAAAAAAAAATCACAAATTTTCAAAAAATTTGATCATGGATTACAAAAAAAATTCGATCATTGATTAAAAAAAAAAAATCACAAATTTTCAAAAAATTCAATCATGCATTACAAAAAATTCGATCATGGATTACAAAAAATTCGATCATGAATTACATAAAATTCGATCATGGATTACAAAAACAAAAAAAACAGAAAATTCGATCGTGGATTACAAAAAAAGAAAAAAATAATTCGATCATGGATTACAAAAAATTCAATCATGGATTACAAAAAACTCTATCATGGGTTACAAAAAAAAACAAAAAACAAGATATTCAATCATGGATTACAAAAAAAAAACAAACATTTCGATCATGGATTACAAAACATTCGATCATGGATTAATAAAAATTCTCTCATGGGTTACAAAAAAAAAAAACAAACAAAAAATTCGATCATGGATTGCAAGAAAAAAAAACAAACATTTCGATCATGGATTACAAAAAAAAAAAAACTAATTCGATCATGGATTACAAAAAAATCGATCAAGTATTACAAAAAATTCGATCATGGATTACAAAAAAAAAAAAACAAAAATTATGTTCTTCACATAGCCATCTTACATAAGCCATTTTAACTAAAAAATCCACCTCTAAGAGAATAAATTACATCCAATTGAGTACATTTTCTAATAAACAACAATATAAGGAATCAAAAACCTAAATTTTGAACACATTATTTCTAATATATCATGAATAAAAAATCAAAAGGCAGAAAAAAAAAAAAAAAAAAACAAGCAGAAATTTGGTTCCATAGACATCTATGTGTTCATCTAAAAATTCATGCTGTAATTGACCAAATTACATAAAATTGAATATGTTAAATCATAATAGACACAATAAAGATTAAAAACCCTACAAATTGAACTCATTATCTTCAAAATATACAGTGAAATTAATCCTATGGCGGAAAAAAAAAACCCAAACTTCTTACCTGGTTTTGTGAGCCGGAGCCTTCAATCTCCAAAAAACTATGTTTTTATCAACGATTATCACAAATTAGTAACAAAAGGTTTTGATGAACAACTTTACGATCAAAATGCCTACAAATTTTGAAAGATTCATGCCCTATTTGGCATGAAACACAAGGAAAGGCGGAAACCCTAAAAATGCAAGTTTCGTGATCTAAAAACACAAAATTTTTCATTCATTTAATTCGTGTAAAAGCTGAATAAAGCTGTTTAAAGCCTGCAAATTAGATCACATGCCAAAAAAACAAGAAAAATGATTAAAAAATGACAAATTTCGAAAAATCCCGTGAAGAATACTGTGCAACCCGTGTTCTTCACGGGACTCGCCGATTCCGTACAGTGAATCGGCGAGTCACTGTACAGGTTCGTCTGGTTCTCTCTAGAACCGGACGATTCCCGATTTTTTTAATGGTTCAAGCCGTCTATAACGATTCCCGAGTCGAACCGACTCGGCGTTTTTTTAAATACTTAGTGCAATACTTTTGCTTGGAAAACATGTGCCACATGTAGCATCCAACCAGCCTGTGAGTTGCCTCCCTCTGATTACTGCAAGCTATCTCAGTCTAGGTCAAATGACCAACATTGAAGGACTTATGTAAAAAAAAGAAGGAAAAAACTAAAAAAGTAAAATTGAAACTTCGTAAAAACGTAGTGTCTGATGAACTAAGGTAGCGTTTAAAAAGGCACGTTTGAATCTTAGAAAGGCACTAAAAGGAAATAAATTGGTATATAATTTAGTATGAGGTTTCGTTATGAAAACAAAATAAAGGCTAGTCTCAAATCGTCATCCGAAAAGTACTTTCAACGATGGAAATCTCTATGATGGCTCTAAAATCAAATTTTAATATTGGCAATAAATTTTGAAACTAAAAAAAAGGTATAGATCTAGACTATGAAGACTTATTTTTAAAGTAAAATGAACAATCTAGATAATTTGTTACGGATCAATGATTCAATGCAACGATTGTATTACAGTATAATGTAACGACACTTCTAGAAAACCATGTTTGTGATATTTGTATGACTCCAAATTTTGCACACTCTCTTCATCTCAGTAATCAATCCCCCTAAAAAAAAAGTTCAATTTGAATCCTAGATATGGTCAAAATGAGTCCTCTCCAAAAACGAATCTAGACCATTCATTTTGTGAATTTCAAGATCTTAGCCTTTATAAACTCAAAATCATTTTTTTTCTTTTTTAACATTGTTCATCTAATGATAATAAAGCCATCCAAAAAAATTGGAAATGAAAAAATCATTCAAAGGTTTTCACCAAAATGAACAGCCTATGTTAATTGTGCTAAAAAAATACTTTTTAGGTTGTGTTTTTATTTATTTATTTATTTTTATTGTTCATTAGAATGAAAAGAGTGTATATTTCAAAATTTGGATCAAACAAATGACCATAAGATGGTTTTTTAAGGTTATTGCATCATCGGTTGCATGGAATCATTGCCTTTTGTTACAGTATGCATTATTTTTAGAGTTTGAAATTGTAATTTGTTTTACAACCATAATGTTTAAGTCGAGATGATCGATATAAAGATTTTTTAATACTTTAATTATAATTTTCAATGAGTTATAAAGTGAGGATTTACTTATTTGCACTATCAAACAATTTTTCATTTTATAATAGGAAAATGGCTTGATAGGGCACCAGCCCTATCAAAATAAGCAAAGTCTAACTTCATAACTCATCAAAAAACACAATTCAAGCATGAGAAAGCTTTCATATCAATCTTCTGGACTTTAACATTATGGTTGTGAAAAACAATAGGATTTCAAGTTCTAAAAATAGTGTATATTGTTATAAATTATCTATACTTTCCATTCTACCATAAAAATAAATATTCTCATGTATGTAAGATCTGTACTATTTTTTAGTTTCTAAGTGTTATTGCTAGTGTTAGACTAATTTTAGAGCCTTTATCCAGATTTCCTTTGCCGTTTTTGGGATGAGAATTTGAGGTGAGGCACGAGTTTGTTTCCATAAAGCCCAGGCCTTATATAAGCTTCATCTTTTATAATGAGTTATGAGCGTAGATTTCCCAATTAGCCTACCATCGTCGGCCGTCCATTCCATCTCTCGTCCTACGATCTTAACCGTCCGTCCTTTCGAGCCGAATGATCACCCTTCGCCCTACTCTTCAAGGGGTCATGGCTACACTCTCTCTCTCTACAAGTTTACTCATGAAATCTTACCAGTACTTTCTCATTCATCACCAACAATGTGGCCCATCCACCATTTCCCTCTGTTTGAAATTGAGTGAGAGAGAGAATACCTGCTTCTTCCTCTCTATTTGAAAGAAGACTGAGAGAGGAGAGAGAGATTCTCCTTCTCCATTTTAGAGAGAGAATGTAGGGGTGCTTGGGAGGAGAGAGAGAGAGAATGTACAGGCTGCACCTTCCTCGCGTTACAGCAAGCCACAGAGTACGGTTCTCGTTCTTTCTATTTCATTGTTGGGTTAAATGATTATTGTTTTTTTGAGGTTTTGTATTCCTTAATGGTGTTATTACTGAAAAGGAAGAATTTGTATGTCAAATTTCACTCTTTGGCATCTTTCTATTTTTTCTTTGCTTCTGCATTGCAAAATATGGGTTAGTAGATTATAAAAGGCTGCTAACCTCTACACAGATGCAAATTAGCAGGCTATAATTTTGGTTTTATTCTGACAATATTACGGTTTTGTCTAGGATTTTGTATGTGTTTGTTTGTGGAGAAAGTCCACCCATTTGTTTTGATTTTCAAACTTTGGAGTGAAAATGCACTCCACCCTTCCCAAGTTATGACTTTCTGCCTTTGGCACAAAAAATTGGTCACCCCTTTAGGGATGGAAGTATACCCTTGCGAGGGAAGTTGAAAACCCATTTCAGGGCAAAGGGGCTTCACTTTCTCTCTTATTTTGCAGCGAAGATTGCCCCTAGTGCGGAAAGTCAGCCCCGCAAGAGGCCTCATTTATGTCTTCTCCCTCTCTCTCTCTCTCATTTTGAATGGATGATTTCCCCCAAAATGAGAGCTGTTGGTTAATAAGATTTTGTTGCTTCTTTTTATGCGAATACTCTCTCTCTCTCATTTTGAATGGATGATTTCCGCCAAAATGAGAGCTGTTGGTTAATAAGATTTTGTTGCTTCTTTTTATGCAAATACTCTCTCTCTCTCTCTTTCAACTCCAAACTCGGATTCTCAACCAGATCCAACCACCTACTCCTCCTTACCCCTCATTGTGCTCTTCTCTTTGAAAGTTTCTTCGTTCTCGCTCTCTACTTCTTGGTTTTAGAAACTGGGTTGGGTTGGGTTGGTTACATAAGAAACTATGGAATCTATTGATGGAGGCATCAGTTGTTGAGATAATAATTCAACAGGTAGTGGCTACTTTTGTTTTATTGCATGTGATCTAAATTAGCTGCTAAAATATCATTCATGGGGTGGATTTCTTTTTTTTCAAAATTATCATGTCCTCTTAAAATGCCTCTTTAATTGGGAAGCTGCCATTTCATTGTTCCTTGGACCTTTTTTGATGATTCTTGCTTGGGTTGATTACCTAAGAAATTTTTTGAATTTAAGGATTGAGGCATCGATTGTGGAGGGAATAATTCAAGAAATGATTCTCTCAAAAAAAAAAAATTTCAAGAAATGCATCTATATTTGTCATGGATTCTGCAATTCAAGAATTCAGTTGGTTCTAAAAATTTTGTTTGCTTTTAAAAATAGGGTTGGCTTGGAGCTCTCTCTGCATATGACTCTTCATGTACTCTCCGGATGCTTGTTTAATGGAAAGTTGACATTTCTTGTGTTCCTCTGCTTCCTTGGAACGTTTGGAAGATAATGCTTGGGGCTTTATCAAAGCAATGCCTGGGAATCATTTCTGGAAACTCCTAGCCATTACTTTTCCATTAGGACTTGCCCAATCATCAGTATGAACTTTGCAGATAGTTTAAACTGGCTGCTATCACAAAATTCCAGGCATCTTAATGAAGATTAAAAATATTGTCTTGGTTATTTTACCTCTGAGATATGCTTTTTGTGGAAGTCATGCACTGAAATATTGGATCTCGTATTCGAAACTCTACTACAGCGGAAACTTGCATCATTCAGATCCTTCAATGACAGCGGAGGTGATGATTGATGAAACTAATCTGGTTGAAGGGTGCCTGTTGTTACAACTAATATTGGGGGCATCATTTGGCTACTAGTCAGTTTTCACATTTGTAGAGAAGCTACCTACTTCCTGAGATATATTACGCTTGGATGACCCCTAGATCCACTCCTCATCTGTTTCAAACCTTTATCCACTCACCTTGGTTGAAGGGGGGGAAGCTACTGTGGAAAGCATCCATCTCTGCCACCCTTTGGTTCCTTTGGACTGAAAGGAACCAGAGAATCTTCAGGGGAAGGAGGTCCTCAGCAAGGCTTTTGGCAGATAAGGTCAGGAACCTTTTGGCCTTCTAGGCCACCATTAATCCTTTGTTCAAGGATGTACCCTCCTCTTCTCTTGGGTCACCTCACCTTTTGTAATTTGGGCCTTTTAATACAGTTAAATTTTCTCAAAAAAAAAAAACAAAAAAACTTACTTGTACATGAAAAATACTAGGTGGGAGGTCACCAAATGTTGGACCAACACACTGGTATGTATGCTTGTGGGGGTCACCAAATCTTAGCTCTTCTTAGGCTTCAGCTGATGCCATAGCATTATCAAAGCCACCTTCCACTAATGACCTGAATATTTGCCTTCTCAGTGATGTGTTCCCAGAAACAATGCAAGGCTTTACCCCCAAATGAAATCTACTTTCTTTGTAGCCATAAGAAGTCCGAAATCCTTGATACTCTAGAGCAGCCTGCAAACTTGGCGTTTAATTTGGTGGTTTTGATCTATAAGGTGAGAAATGAAGATGGGATACCCTAGAGGGAATATATTTTGCAGGCGATCAGGAACCCATCAAAAATTGAGAAAATGGGACGTTGTATATTTTGCAAAAAAGCGTTTTGGAGAAAGGAAGCTTACTGAATAATGGAGGGAAAAGTTCAGCATAATTGGATTCATGCTCGAGGATGTGACTGCTAGGTTCTTGGAGCTTGCAATGAAGAAAGTGAAATTAAAAATGAGAAGGAAGCTCATCCATACTCAAGTACTTTGTCGTGCCAAAGCATGAGGATGTTATAGATGTAGAGAAGAAGGTTTCTTATTCTTCACCATTTTAGACCCCGCAAAACTCTGAAGTGAACATTGTATAGCTTGAGATTATTCGCCCATCTTTCAAAGTGGAGGTAAATTTTGACATAGACCCCGCGATTATGCAATGGCCACCTTTGTTATGATGTGACATGTGTGATAGTTTGTGCTATAATATCATGGCTGCTTAACATTATCAGGCTTTACTTGATTGATGCCGATAAGGTCCAAAGCAAGGCTTGTAATGTGCTTTTGAACACCCAAGAGGCAGCAATGTGGGCATTGAATCCAGGAAAAAGATGGGTGATGCTTATTAGGTGGCAATGGAGGTGGAGGAGAAAGAAGCCCATGGGTTCTATTCAAATTTGACGAAATTGGTGGGTTCCGGTCCACGGGTCGAGTTTTGAGAGTCGTGTTTGAGCTTGAATGAGAAGAATGAATGGGCGTTGAAACAGGGGATGATATTTAACAATTCGATTGTGTTTAAAGGCCTCAAAGGTTTGGAGTCACTCCCTCTTGTCCTTGCCAATGTAATTCTGAGGGAGAATGCACCTGAGCTGATGAATATCATTCTCGACAATTGTGAGAATTTCGCCAACTCCGTAATTGTGAGCTTGAATGAGAAGCCCATGCATTCTTGACAATATGGGGTTTATTGATTAGTTTTGTTAAGTTCTTTGTGACTTGCACATGGTTTATAACATATTTAATTTTTTTTCAACATTTTCAAGAGCTTATAAATTAGCATCATTTTAAGTTTTGAATTTCATAACTTGGGGTGGAAATGGATTTTCAAATCGTAATAGAGGTTTGTGGCACTCAAATTGTCTTTTGACCAGTTTTGGAGGCGCCTAACTTTGATTATCCAAGGTTGACACATTGTACAAATATCCTTCGTATAATGTTCCATTTGATAGTGCTCCAAGGCTTTACGATTAGGACAATTATTTCATGCGACGGGGACCGTATTTCTACATTTACAGTCCTTGGAGAATAAGGCATCCATATTAAAGACATATTAAAGATGGATACAAATAGGTGATCTATCTATAAACAAAATAATTGAAACAGATAAACAAAACAATTGAAACTGATTGTTCAAATGTTTTTTTAATAAAATTATTTTTTTAATTTTTTTAAAAATTTATTTATTTTTTTATATTTATGATCTCCATGTTAGAACTTGCATGTCTTTAGAAATGAGGTCTAAAAATCTATTTCAAAATTAGACTAGATGTTTTTAAAAATTAGGTCAAAATATCCATCTCAAAAATAAAATTTTAATAGGCGAATCATTTTTACCTGGACTCATAGAAACTGTGTCATTATTATAGAAGGAATACGAAAACCAAGGTTAGGTTGGGTTTAGATTGAGCAAACCTATCCTCAAAGTCTAGTGCTTTGGGTGTCTAGTGCTTTGGGTGCCATCCCCGAGTCTGGTGGTTTGAATGACAGGAATCTAGACTCGTCTGAGTGCTGGTCCGCATCTAGGTCCTCTACTAAGATAGACCCGAGCCAAGGCCATCTCTTTTACACGTCAAAAAAAATGGAAAGCTATGGAAATGAGTATTAATGACCACAATAATTTTTAATCTTTACCATAATATAAAGAATATTAAAAAATATATTATAAATAAAATTCTTTATTTTTTAAATTTTATATATATTTACTTTGAATTTTTTTATTAAAATACCAATCAATCATGAAAACCGCCTGAACCCGAAACTGGCCAATGGCCAATGGCCAATGGCCAGTTCCAATCTAAATGGGTATATACCAGTTAGATCACCCAGTTTTTCCAACATAAGTAAGTGTAATTTGGGGCACTAATTGGATTACCATATGGGATCGACCTCATCTGGGTCCCTGTCTGGGTCTAGATATTGGACCTGAGGGCTCTGATCCGGTTTTGGGTCTAGGCTACTCCCTACCCGGTCGGGGCGGATTTGTTTCAGCATCAACCTAAACCCATTTAAAGCACTAAGTGCGATCCTTCTCGCACTCGATCGAGGGAAAAATTACTCTGATACATGTCAAGCCCCGAGGGTCACAGTCACACTTTCTCGCTCTAAACCTTGACGAAGGCACTTCCCTCGCTATTTCAATCTCTCTCTATAAACTATTTGCAGTAAGGGAAAGAAAGGGCGTAAAGGAAGCTACCGGTCCTCCCATTACAGCAAGCCACTGGGTATGGTCCTCATTCTTTCTTTCTTTGTTGGGTGTTCTTCATTCATCAGAACATAAACGATCTTCTCCTTTTTTTTTGAGTGCAAAAGTGTTGTTAGTCCATTAACACTGTAACTGATGATCTTCTTCTAAATCTTCAAAATCCTGGCCTTGACAAAAGCCCAATCTTTCTGCAAACCCCAATTTCTCATTTCCCATGTCATTCCTTTCTCTCTTCATTCTTATGTTCAACATTCTCCACAAACCCTCTTCTCTCACTTCTCCTTCTTCTCTCATTAATGATGGAACGGCCTTACCTTCTTCTACTTCTTCTTTCATGGTTAATCTGTTTGTGGACTCTTTTGGGTTCTCAAAGCAAGGAGCCATTGCTTCATCTTCCCAGCTTCTCCATGTCAAAACCCCTGAGAAAGCTCTCTCGGTACTAAACTTCCTCAAAGCCAAAGGTTTTGAAGCAATCCATATCAGCAAGTGCCCCCATCTTCTTGCAGCCAATGTCGAGAAAAACCTAATACCCAAATTCAAATTGTTTGAAGATTTGGGCCTTTCTAAATTCGATCTTGGGGCCGTCATCTCTGCAAATCCAACCATTGTTATGTATAGCTTAAACAAAAGACTTCTCCCTAACATTCTCTTCCTTTAAAACTACTTGGATCCCAAAGGTGTCTTGAAGTTTCTCAAAGGTCAAGGTCGTAGATTGGTGTCCAAGAGATTGCAGTCCAATGTTAGGTTCATGGAGAGCCAGGGAATTGGCGGCTCGAAGTTGAGAGCACTCTTATTGAAAAGGACACCCTTATTTGAAGTGATGTCCATTAGGCTTATAGAAATCACAGAGAAAGTTAAGGAATTGGGTATTGAATCTCACTTTAAAATGTACTCTCATGCTGTTGGGTTCATGAGTTTGATGAGCAAGGAGACATGGCAGAGGAAATTTAAGTTCTTTAAGAGCTTTGGGTTGTCAGAAGAAGATATTCGCACCGCTTTCCAAAAGATGCCTGTAATCTTTTGTTTATCAGAACAGAAGTTGCAAAAGACTATGGATTATTTCATCAACGAACTTAAATATGATGAGAAATATCTGTGTTTTCATCCTAATATATTCTGTTTTAATTTAGAGAGAAGGTTGATCCCAAGGATTAATCTATTGAAAGTGTTGAGGTCAAGAAAGTTGCTGGAAAAGGATGCAAGTTTATTGACAATTTGTGTTTTATCGGAGAAGGCGTTCTTGGAGAGATATGTGTTAAGTTTTGGAGAAGAGGCAGAAAATTTGCTCAATATTCATAAGTGAAACAAAGAAAACTCAAGAAATTGATGCTGAGTCTATGGTCTAAAACAGGCTTAATAGCCATTAAAATCTGAATTCCATGACTCTTATTTTGTTATATCTCTGAAAAAGAAGAACTGAATGTCAAAACTTTCTGTGTTGTGATCCTTGTGATTTTGCCTTGCTTCTCTTTGTTCTGGATTTTATAATATAGGTTACAAGAGCAGAAAAGCTTGCTAACCTCTACACAGATGCAAAATTAGATGGTGATAATTTTGGGTTTATTCTAACCATGTGATGGATTTGTCTGGAAATTTGTGCACATTTTGGCCTGCCTCTCTCGCTCGATTATGCTCTTTAAACATGGGAAATCATTGTTGGATTGCTGGGCTCATTTCTCCTCAAGTTTAGGGCTTTTTCTGGGAGGAATTTGCTGGGTTTCTCCAAATGTGGAAGCTCTAGCTAGAAAAGTTGGGATTTTTTTTCCTCATATTAGGTGGGTTTTAATTCCTGTTTGGAGTTGTGTTCAGTTGGTTAAAGACAAATTAGGGCAAAGAGAAGATTCTTTTGGGGTTCCTTTGAAGAAAACTCTGGAAAATGTCAGCTTCATTTGCACCTTTTGATCACCCAAGAAATGGAGTGCAGTGTAGGCTCTGAACAGTTGTATTCTTCATGTTCTGGATACATGATTCTTAGATTTTTGTCTTCTCTTTTGGGGAATGCAATGCTCATGAATGCTTCTTGGAATATCTTTGTTTTCTTTCTGTTTATGGTTTTGTTTTTGTGCATCTTATAAACTTTCATATGTTTGAAGGAGATCACTCTTCTTCTCTGTATCCCTTTGCATTTCCTTTGTGGTGGTGGTAGTTCATCTCTGCATCCTTTTGCATTTCCTTTGTGGTGGTAGTTGTTCATTCCTGTTTCCCTTTGCATTTCCTAGTGGTGGTAGTTGTTGAAGGGTTTGCTTTTTTTAAAAAAAAATTATTGCAAATGTGTTCTTCTATGTTCGACAGCTCACTTCCATGGACTAAGGTGACGAATCAGATGATGGTGAATTCTGGTAAGTAAAACCCAAGTATTAAATTTGACCAGAACTTGGTAGATGTATTCTTGTATGGTTTGATTAAGGGAGAGTTCTTTGATGCAGTTAATGATCTTTGTGGATAAATGGACGAATCAGATGATGGTGAATTCTGGCAAGTAAAACCCAAGTATTAAATTTGACCAGAACTTGGTGGATGTATTCTTGTATGGTTTGATTAAGGGAGAGTTCTTTGATGCAGTTAATGATCTTTGTGGATAAATGGAGGTATAAGCAAGTGGTTATGGAAACCCATGAGAAGCTCAAGTTAAAAAAGCTGAGAAACAGGAATCATACAGAGGTGGAAGCTTGCACCCCATATGAAGATAAGCTTCTTTTATGGGATGGTATAGCATCCATGTGATGGATTCTTTAACGGTTGAACCTGGTTTCATTCAACAGCCATAAAATAATTCTGTTTTTTTTTTTAAAAAAATAAAAAATTATCTTTCTTCTAAAATTTTGAAGTATAGATCCTTTTTTATATGGGACATCAAATAAAAATAATAAAAAATGTTTTAAACAAAAAAATTGACCAGAATATTTCCTATGTTCAAGTTTTTAGTCTGCTATCATCTATGCTCATATAAAGATCATATTTAACTAAAACAAAAGGGAATTATTTTGTGGCCCTTGGATATGGGCTCGTTCAATCTGAAGAGTCCACATTATGTGGATGGGATATTTTCATGAATTAGTCCCCCACCAATTCCCGATTCAGATCTGTGATTCCTAATCTGAATTGCTGTTTTTTGAAACATTGGTTTATGGCGAAGTGAATTCCTAATATTTATTGAGTGCAACCTACCATTTTAGTGACAATGACTCCTATTGAGATATTCTCAATGGCAAGTTTTATATGGGATATTATAGTATTTTTATCAAAAATCTATTTATTAGTTGATCAATGGGACTTCAATATATCTGATTGAAATTTTATTAATTGTAGAGTAATTAAGATTACTAACAAGAATTCAAATTACACACAATTATAACTATAACTATGTAAAATGACTGAAAATATTGATCATTTCATAATACAGAATCTTTTTTGGATCTCTCTACAATCTCGGCGATGGTTTCGCATCTTGAAGCTTGAAGTTTAAAGCACCCAAGTATATGGCAATCAGCCATGGCATTCTATGCTGCCTTAGTAAGGAAAACATAGATACTTTCTTCATTGCCAACCCAGCAACTGGCCAATGCTCCCCCATTCCAAAATTTTCTGGTCCTTTATATGTTGATAACTTTGGGTTTTATTTCATCCCTGAAAAGTGCAATTTCAAGATCTTCGCCCAATTCGTTAATGGCTGGAGTTACTGGGGCTCAAAACGAACCAAATAACCCCAGGCCAACATGCCATCCACCTTATGCTTTGTGGCAGTATCCCCTTGGAGATCAGCATCACACGGCCGCATATGTTACCTCCTTTTTGGAGATATCTTGGTTTTCAACATGGAGACAAAGGAAGTGGATGAAGAAGTGGGAGACTATAAACCAGAACCGACCACCTACAGGAACATACAACCCTAGACCAGGATGTTGTTGTTTGTATTGCACACGGAAACCATGGTTCGAAAGCTGGGTCTTGGGTCTAACCCAAGAAAAAAAGTGGGTGGAAGCACACCACATTGCAGATATGTGTGACAAAATGAGCAACCATGGGTATCCACAACTTTTGGCAGGTGAGGTGCTCATTTTCACCAAAAGTGGCATCACATTAACATGTGATAAGGGTGGCAAATTGAGTGTACTAGATGAAGCTAATTGTTCTGACTTGTACATTACAATCCCATTCTGTATTCTTGGGAGTTGGTGAAAGAGGAGGACAAGTTCACAGCTCTTCAAGAACTAGGAAAAGAGGGAGGTATACTTGCTGATAACACATGATGAGAGATTTGTGGAGGAGATAGATTGTATGAAGGGAGATTTACAGGCATGAGGAATTATATTAAATGCTAACCAAAGAAATTCATAAAAATGAGAATGGGTTGGGGCCTTGACGGTAGTACCAAGCCCTATGATGAAGTCTCTTACTCCGGTCTCACCTAAGGATAGGGGCCCAAATCCCCGCTGATTTACCCCCATTTACCCAGAAATAGAAGAAGAAATTCATGAAAAGAAGATGGGCTCACTGGGAAAGACATTTGGTGGTTGCCAATACAAAAGAAAGGTTCCCTTAAATGGGTCGGCTCATATAGGGAGAGCAAAAAACGAATTGCTTATTTACTGCTGCTGCTGCTTGTTTTTTCTTTGCATAACCTCTTTTAACTCATAGACTAGCCTAAAATAAAAACAAAAATATATACAAAACAAACCGCTCTCTCTATACACATGAAAAGAATAATGTATCCTTTTTCTAGGATTTGAGCTTAGAATTTCTTATTTTATCTAAAAATTGTATTGATATAAAAATTATGGCATATATAAATCCACATATGGTCGCCTAATAAATAAAAAAAAGATGTACTTTCATTAAGGCATACGCCTTATGAAAAAATGGGCCAAAACATCCAAACATATTTTCTTGGGTATCTCGTTAATTTTTAAAATACATATTTTAATTTTTTGAGTGTGTCACCCAATTTGAAAATGAATCCACAACCGATTTTTAAGTAAATAGACAAAATATTAAATTTATGAAAAAATAAAATTACGATTTGGAAAAATATCAATCATGCATGTCATGAAAAACACAAAATGCCTCCTAATGCCTGACGAAATGATAAGTGCCTCTACTTATTCAAGGTTAAAATAATAAGCAACCATTTCAAATATTGAACAACCAATAAGGTC